GGTTAGAGTCTGGAGAGAAGGTCACCAAAAGAAAGGGGAGTGAACTAGCCCATGGGAATTGGTAAATAAGGACAAAGAGATAGTAACGGTTAATTTCAAGTGAGAACACGTTAACTTCCGTTCAACAGCTGTAAGAAAGTGGAGAGATGATCCTATGGTAGAATCTCAGCTTGCACCACCAGCAGCCGAAAAATAGTTGGAATTAATTGAAGTACCTGAAGCCGTGTCACGATTAACAAAGCCGACAGTAGAAGTTTGGGAGGTTCAAGCCTAGCCGCAGCCAAGATGCAGCGATCGTGTGGAACTTTTCGAAGGTAATATGTCAAACATCTGATAGTTGGGAACCTACTGAATATGGTAATGAGAATCATCCAATATTGGAATGAGATATCTTCTCGGATCAACTTACTCGAGCTTTGATATCCCACCAGGGACATGGTGATCAAGATGTTCAGGATAGCCAGGACAGTCAAAGCTCCGACTTGAGATCTTTTGATCCCCAACACATGTAATATATTTCAAGTGTAATTTTGGGAAACGACGAGAAGATAATCTCTCCCCGAAATAGTTTCCGATGGGTATATAGCATCAGTGCTGGAGAGGAGTTGAAGAGCAGAGATTTCATTAATTCAATTTTACTTTACATTTTTCATTTGACCCTCAGTGTCTAACAGAATATCAGTACTGACCACGAGCAAAAAATAGCAACTGTCACAGATCAGCTATAGAAAGCAGGGAGCATTTGTATGGATGATGGTATATTAACAATTCAACTATGTAGAACTAAGCTACAGATACTTAGCCAGGTATTTATACAGATTACTACACTCCAAGCCCTTCCATCTAAGGTCAGTTCATTTCTAGATAATTCCAGTTGCAACTCTGAGAATATGGTTTCTAGTAGCTTCTCCAAGTCTCAGTTACAGTCTTGTTCATGTCGAATCTTATCTAGTACCTTCGACAGTGGTTCTGGTATATTCTGCAGGCCATTGCGCCGGCCCACCCCCTGGTGGTTATACGCCAGTACTTGCCATTACTGGCTACAGGAAAATACCGGCTTCTTAGCCGTTACATCTGGAACTGCTAGTGAACGAAATAAATGCATATCAACTTTCCAAAAAACTTCAAGTCGCAGGACTGATTGTGATACCTGGAAAGCCAGTTGATATTTCCACAGCAGAGGAGCTCAAGGGTCTCCAATTCAGTAAGGACATGATTTGGAAGCGAATATTCAAATCGCGGATTACTAATACCATCAAAGGAGAAAAGACAATGATTCCACGGGAAAAGTCACGTCAAGTCGTCCAGGCTTTCAACAATCCTAATAAATCGATGGTCTTAACTCATTCTCCTGCTGTTCAGAGATCTAGTGTACGGTCGATCCTAACACTTGCCACTACAACGATGGTATCATTTAAAACAATCCTTTTCATCCGGGACATCACACAAGCGTACACTCAGTCAAAGACTCCCTTGATTAGAGATCATTGAGTATCTAAACTTGACGCCAGAGACAATCATGAGGGTCACTAAGCCACTTTTTCGAGCTTGAGGACGCCAAACTCAAGAAATCAGAACTGGAGGCAAAGGGAATCGAGCGGTTACGCCAGTATAGACCTCTGCTCTTCAACTGTCTGCAAATCTCTCTGTGTTGGGAGAAGCTGAGGATTCAGCCAAAAGGGCAGACGAGTAAAATTGAGTTTGTCGATCCAAAGGACCCAGATAGGAAGGGTGCTCACAGACGTCATCGGGCAAGTGGAGTTTGGGTTCGTTCCATTTGCCAACCTCTTCATGCATTTGCCTTGTCGAGAACGGCACAATACCAAAACCCTGACAAAGAAGATATAAAAGAACTTTTTGTGAATATCATGAGCATGACTTTTAGATGTCTATTTACCACAGATACAAGGTCTATGATAGATACTTTGACAAGGGCGGCAAACCATCACCCATGACGAGTTTGAGGCAGAGTCATAGATGCTTGAGTGAAGCTGCCGGGTCAGGAAATCGCTGCCAAGAAGTATCATCTATACTTAAGACTGTGTCATGGTTTTGAAGCTAGGGTCTAGTGATACGTAGGCAATAGGAGATGTAATTGAGTCAATGAGTCTCAGTTAACGACCGAATAGCACTGGCGCAGTTATGTGGAGAAAAGGCTAGCACAAGAGACTTTTAGATAACATAGCGATATCTTCATGTTTAGATAGAACCAATCAATCAATCGAATATTATCAGGATTAGTATTCATACCATTCTATTATCATCAATCATGCGATAATATTCCAATAGAACTCAGTGTCTCTCTCAAAGAGCAGAAACACCATCTCGATACTGGCATTAGCTAAGTATCTGTCGACGTCCAAGATGGCTTAGTATTGTACGTCTTCACTGATTGATCTTTCCCCAATAATAAAGATCTTACATCACAAAGTAGTTACATGATAGTACTTGCTAACGAGACACGCGGAGAGAACTATTTTGCCATACGCGGCAATATACTGAGCCAACTCGATATCCATCTTGGGCGAATTATTACGTCTAATTTTTCGTAGCTAAGGAGCATAGGAGCACTATACAAGGTGCGGCCTGGGTCAGAGTGGAGCCCAATGTGCCAGGTAGTCAATGACTCCAGTAGCACTATAAACGACACAATCACTCATAACAACGACGCCCTGAGACGCCAAATTCACAAACACTTGTGTATCTCTACGAGGGATCTATCGAGGTAATTATACTCCAAGTCTTTGCTCCCTGACCTTTCACAGCAGCTCATCAGGATACATTTTCCCCGCTCTGGAAACCCGTATTATTGCTGTCGGATGGGAGGCCTTTGGATCCACCACCTACGTATTCGTTGGCATAGCTGCAATATCAGGGCCGGTTTTCCTTGAAGCTACATGTAGTTCAGACTTTCAAATCCTCTCTTCACAGCGTGCACCAAGGTAAAAGTCTCTTCATTACTGTTGTCGGCTTGCGCGATACCTCAAGCCAACCCTTTTTAAGCCAATTTAAGATCTTGCCTCCTCAATATCGTCACTTGTCACATTAAAGTTCTATGTACCGTAAAGAAAAAATAGTTCTACTATGAAGTCCCACATAATCCTTATATTTCAGTCTGTTGGGATTTGTTGTTCCAGCCGTTTTTCCGATTCTGGTTGATGGTTGTTTTTTCAGCATACCGCTACAGCATCGGCCACAATTGAGTATGACGCGTAAGATTTAGTGAAAGAGAGAGACCAAATAATACTGTTTGAATATTATCGCATGATTGATGATAATAGAATGGTATGAATACTAATCCTGATAATATTCGATTGATTGATTGGTTCTATCTCAACATAAAGATATCGCTCTATCGTATACAAGTCTTTCGTACTAGCCTTCGCTCCACATGACCACGCCAGTGCTATTCGGTCGTTAACTGAGACTCATTGACTCAATTACATCTCCTATTGTCTACGTATCACTAGAGCCTAGCTTCAAAACTATGACACAGTCTTAAGTATAGATGATACTCCTTGGCAGCGATTTCCTGACCCGGCAGCTTCACTCAAGCATCTATGACTCTGCCTCAAACTCGTCATGGGTGATGGTTTGCCGCCCTCATTAAGGTATCTGTCGTAAATAGATATATAAAAATCACGCACAAGATATTCATAACAGATACTGCTAGTATTGGTAGTGATAAAATAAATACATCAAAGTAGATGTGGGACTTGGTAAAAAAGTTGCAGTCTTCTTCAGTCGCTCATTTGCAAAATCATGCGGTTTACTTCAGAGCTTTCCTGAGATTTTTAAAATTAAAATTTAGATAGGGTGAAGTATTCGGGTATTGTCAGAAATTTCCCATACGGTTTCTACTCAAAGTATCACGAATTTACGACTACATTTCAATTATTCTTCCACTTTGATGAGAGATGCACTTACAAAAATTTCCCTAATTATGAAGGCGACGAAAATAGACGCTGGCTAATATTAGGGATTACGTGATATAAAACCTTGTAACTATAGTCAGACTAGCCATCACTACATCCTGATAAATTCGATTGATCAGTGGGTAAACATCGATTCAAAGAGCAGAATGACAAACTGTTGGGCCTTGAGAACAACAGCATACGGCCTGTGAACAGTATCGTCTTTACATATAATACCTCAAATGTTACTGAATAGAACGGCTCTCAGACTGCATATATTCTCAACAACCCAATATCTGCGACGAATTGTGGGGTAAGGCGAAGCTTCTTCATGCAAATTTCTTTCCATCGAGGCTTTTCTGCCATCTTACTTCGACCTTTGATCAGTTTTGCGGCACGAGTTTGAGATAGAGGAAGAAAGTTCCAAACATGCATTAGTCTGCTGCATCCGAAAAACAGGGCGGCATCCCAAAATACTTCAGGGAGGTAGCTTTGGCTTTTGATTGAATCTCAATTTTGAAAGTAGGTGAGTTCCGCACCAACGATCCCTGTAAGATCTTTCAGATAGCTGAAAATCGGTAATATATCTCAGTTGGATTGGTTAGAGAGAAATAATAATGAGACAACGACTCTTCCAAGTGTATACTTAATTGAAGACCTTTGGGTTTATTATCGCTGAAAAGGGACTGTATAGGAGGTAAAAGGGGAGCACATTACCTGAGGCATATTGATTTACAATCTGTATATAGAAATGACCCATTTGTATCAAAATTTCATAGATTCAACCGGACAAAAAATATCAAGTTTTAAGAATAAAACGTTTTTTAGCGCCGATGTTAAGCAGCTTTGCCGCTCAAGATAAAGGATAATAATACTATGCAAAAGGACGCAAAATCTAGCCACAAGTAAATAAAAGGTTACAAGTGATAATGAAGATAGAGTAAATACGTCAATACTCGTCTAGATGTAGGTTATTATACCAAGAACAATCAGTATGGGTATAAAAAACGCAGTTTGGCCGAGGAAAGTGTTGGTCGGCACCTCTGTGATAGGCTCTCGACTATCATATATCATAGGGCTATGATATTAATATGGAGTCACCCAGGTTGATAGCCTCTCAAAGGTAATCGGATTGTAATCGTAAATGAATGGCAGTGGCGTTACTTCTGGTCGACTCAACATGCGGCGTCTGAAGCTCGCAACCATGTCAATGGGATACCTCATAAGGGATAGAACCTCACTATCCAAATCTTTAGATGAATTTTGAATTCCATAAAACAACATTTGTTCAATTCTTTCAACGGGTCCTATGGACAAACTTCCAAAATATGCCGCGCCGACCTCTGGGAATAAAGGCTCTATGAGAATGGCCATAGCGTATAAGTGAGCTAGAGTGAGAAGTGCTGGTGGTGAATCTCTACTTGTCTGGAGGATTGCGACTGGTCGCCAGAATAACCAGATGCGTAGCGGATCGAGCATCTCAAAGCGCTGAGGAGTTGTACGGGAGGGGGCGAAATTACGCACTTTTTTAATAAATTCTATGAGCTGTCGAATGGAATGCTGAAGAACTACATCTTTTGTCTCAAGATAAATTTCAACTTTCTGGAGCTGCACACAGGCCCTTTCTAGAGCATCTAAATCTCTCCATTGAACGCGCTCAATATTCGTACACGAAATGGACGATAGTGGAACAGTGGGAAAAATGCTTTGCTCTGCAATAAAGTCTCCGAATTCTGACTCGTTTTTCCATAGCTGCATAGCGATGATTATCTGTGGGCTGTTTAATCGATGATTGTTAGTGGCCAGCTAGGAGCACTTACCGATGACGTCCCGTGCATTAGCTGTGTCCAGCCGCACCTTTTCATGTCAGGTCTGGAAATATCCTGGAATGATCATCACCTACCAATTACTCTCTTGCCATGACAAAAGAAGAGATGCGGCTAAAACAGCGTCGGAATTTTTGGGACAGAACACACTTAAAGCTTTTTGCAAACTTTTCATGGCAGCTCCGCGGTGTCGGTAAGCCATGTTTGCTGTCTGAGTGCATTTGGTCAACCAGGCCAAATGTGTTGCAGCAAGAGCGAGAAGTGCATGCATAACATACGGATACACAACTGCAATCCTTAAAAACCTTTAGGATGATTAGCGCGAATCCTGGCATCGAGCTTCTCGATCGCACTACACATGTACTCACAAAGGTACCTTCCAAGTCCACAACGTAAAATGGCTCGAATTATAACGATCAAGCTCGCTTGAGATTGAAGCGACGTGATAAAATAGACGGAGATCTCCATAGGAGAACCGCGCTGGAATCGATAGTGGGCAGGCACAGAGGTTAAGAAAGGGAAAAATGCCTGTCAGTTTCCAACGGGCAATATCGGCTTCGATCTCCGGAGTCCACATAAGATCGGCCATGTTAGAAATAATCCATCTGTCTTGTGAGTACGAGGTTATATAATTCAGATATGGGCAACGGCAATTATGCTTGGTACAATTTCGACTGAAGGATAATCATTTTCTCATTCCTACACATTGGAAAGATCCAATTTGTTTGGGGAGTCTCAGAACATACCATTGCGGGAAACCCTCGTCACAACGAATATGTCTTTTTTTGCAAGTTCTACAACCGCTACGAGATTTAGTGTGGCTATAAAAAGTTAGGTAACGAATATATTGAAAAGGCGATGTCAAACGCATCAACATACCTTCGACGAGGAGGTCCACCACCGGGACCAGCCATTTCAATAAATATATAATTTGTTTGAATATCTAACTTTGAATTTCACCAGGTTTCAGAAAGCTGCAGCAGTGCTAATATAGTCAGGATACATCAACAGCTATAAGTATGAATTAGTATGTCAGTATAAATGACTTATACTGTAGGGTAAAAATCCAAAAGCCAAGATGATCCAAGATATTGACTGTATAAATAAGACTTTTAAAGAAGGAGATTCAGAGGACAGCAAAATTAACAAAACTTGATGTATAATAACATGTGCTTCTATCCTTGCGGGTTAGAATGGGGAAGGTCGATCAGTGGACCCTATCCGCTTCTGTTACGTTGACACTATGAAAATTTAGCGGCCGTGGCAAGAAGGGTTCATGTGAGGATAATTTGGACCAACTTTTCTCGGTTTCCTATTAAAAATAAGTAAAAATTTAATAAGGGAGCTTGAGTAAATCTCCCTTTTTCTCCTCAAAATAGTCTGGTCGTGGCAGATCAGTAAATAGAGGCGTATTATCTATTGCTAGAATCTACAATCGGCAAAGTGCCGTCTTCGGCCCTCTCAAATAGCTAACATAGAACAAATTTGCTGGCGATCAAATGTTGGAGCTTCAAGCTGACTGGCTAGTACTTTAAGGGAGGGTGATAAAAAACTTCTCGACAACAACAATGGCAGTGGCGAAAACAATCACAATGGCGATAAATAGGATAATTTCAACGGATATAGTTGATAATGAGGAATCCGCGGTCAGAAATCAGGTCTGAGATCAAGGCTGGGCCGAATAATTAGAAGAATTTTGGCATCGAGCACGGGAGGCGGGAAGAAAGCGGCAGAAAGCAGACAGGCTTGGGCGAGACAAGATTAGGGGTTTGGGACCCACAACGTCAATATTCTGGAGTTTCAGTGCGACCAGCTGGGGATCTACCGGAGATTTCTACACCTTGAACCTCAGACCAGACAGAATACAGAGCTTAAGACTAATCTCGAACTGGAAGGCGGAAGCTCACCAAGGTTAACCTACAGACTTTTGACTGTTAGTCATTTCTATGCCTATCTTCAGCATGGGCCTCGAACCTGATCAAAACTTTTGTCCTTAAAGATCCCTATGGTTCTGATAATTCCAAAGCAACGGGTCAGCGCTGCGTTACTGAAGCTAGGCGAGCCTGCTCATGAGCCGTTTATTTGGCAACAGCGAGGCCTGACAACCTAGCCTGCGATGATGACAGCTCTACAGCCTCTATCTGGTCGGCTTGACGTGATTTCTTCGAACCCGTGACAACTCCTCGTAGTTGATTCCTACTATTTACTTTTATCGATATCCGTTCACCAGTATTCATTTAACTCTCGAACAAAGGAACTTTTGCTTGATGTCGGGTCTTCTTCCTCGATGCCTACATCGATCTTTTACCGCTGCTCCAAACGGTATCCTGCAATAAATGACACTCATGATTAACATAAAAAGCTTAGCTTAATTAAAGTGACATATTGGCTCATCATCCTACGATTTGTTACTGGCTGTACGAGGAGCATATATAAGCTTTGTCTACAGATTTTACTCCTATAACATAAATTTCTTCCCCTAGGACAAAGCAATCGCATTTTGAAAGTTTCATTCCAAGATTCCAATTTTTTATATGAAAGCCTGAATGGAGCTTGAATTAATAAATGTTATTGATAAGCTTTAGCCCATTCACTCTCTACATCAATGATATCTTGAAGTGTTAAAGCTAAAATTTGTTCCGAAACTGTTCCCTATGTCTATAGATGTCCCTTTCAAATCAATAGTAAACAACCGCACATCACATTTGAAATAAGCTTTCTGTCTGTGGCCGTGTCCTGAGCTTATGTTAGGCCTATGACGGGTGAAAAATGCGGCTGTGTGCTTGTAAATAGCGCAGATACATTCTAGCGCTAACCCGGGTACTTGAACGACATAATTTGATTGTTATGTTCCATGGTCACTTAATTTGGTGTCACGTGTTAGTAATACTCATGAGAATAACGAGGCATTGAATAACATATCTGCAAAAATGACAAGCCGTCTTCTGTAAAATTATGGCTCATGAAGCTTTTCAATCTCTTCTAGTCTCTACACAACTAAATAATCCAAAGACCAACTGGGCCAATTGGCTTTTCGTTGCTTTTAATTACAAGCCAAACATTTGATCAAGATACTCTCATCAGCCTCGAATTCAAGCTTGTAGGGATTAAAGCAAATATTAATGCCACCAGTGATATCATATATTTGCCATCTAGCACCAAGAAACCCCTAATTTACCTTGTAATCTGATTCTTTTTGCCCGGAATATCAATAGTCATATTTTGTCGATGGTCCTTGTTCAATGGCTGCTCATAAGATCAATTTATAGGGGAAATTCCGTCAAGTCTGCTAGCTCAAGTAGTCCCGACATGAATCTATTTCAGAATTCGATGCAATGTAAATATATTATTCAAGAATTATCCGCGATGATGATGTCTATAGTGTTGAGTAAAAATTCTTCCATATCGATATTAAATTACAGGATCATTCCTAATCCTCACGATGTGACCGAAAATTATAGGCTCCTGTCAATTCCAAATATAGCATCCATGATGATTCGAAACCATTGTGTCGATTAAAAAACGTCTCCAAATCTTGTGCAACGAATCATACTTTAGATAGCTATTGAAAATTAGAGTGCATGGCCCGCTGCCGAGTCAAATGTACTTAAAACTTTCTTGCATCAAAGGTACTGTATTATGGACCGATTTTTCCGTTGTTTGAGCTTGTAAGGATACTAAAACGTTACATGAGGGTTTTCCGAAGATCTCGGTGGCCATGGCGATGTTTGCGCGAAAACAGCATGGAGAGGTCTTTTCCAGGCGGAAAAATTCGATCAACTACTCAATATATCAAAGCACCGTCACAATAAATTTGCACTTTTCTTGAATTTTTTGTGTCCAGCTATCTGGTTATTTCACTTTCTGGGCGTATTTTGTGAGTGTTGGATGGTGCGTTTGAGTTGGGAAACGCTCATACTAGGCATAGTATTCGCAAATGTCACGATGAGGCATGTCTGTTAATATAACAGGTAAACCAGCATCTGACGGCATGTATCTCAGTGGCAAGAATGAAGCGTCATGGGAAAATTTTTAATGTGGATTGTCTCAGAGTGGATAGAGCGTTGCAAGTAGCCGTTAGTATTTGCTTTAGCGATCTTCCAATCTGGTATAGTTCAATGAGTCGCCGCATGTCACACAGATGGGGTTGAATTGCCAGTAGTATGTAGTCCTTTTAAATTAAAACTTCACTAAAATTTAATGCCTTCCGGCGACACCTGACGCGGATTTTTGCCGGACAGATTGCTCAAATTTATATTGCATTTACTCGTGCTCTTTACCATGGCTGCATCTAATCCTTATCGAGTTGGGAATGTCGCTCATTATCAGTTGCCCTCTAATCATTTTTTCAATATCGTTGATTGTATGCAGTCTATCCCGCTGAGGTACAATCCCTAGCTCTCATAAAATTGGTTGGGCTTGAGTCCTAGGACAAGCCCAGATGCAATCATATACACTTATGAGTTTCAGAAACTGTCGACGACGCCGCCGTTTGTGGCTAGCAAGAAATCGCCCGGCCTAGCTAAACGGCTCCGAGTTCAAAAATATCCCCAGACTCGTGGGCTAGCCGCAGAAACGCTTGATCTTCGCACTGACGTGGCGAAGCTGTGGAAGTAGGCTGTCGAGGGTGGGGCGATTGATTGTTGTAAGTTAGCCTCGTGCGCAAATACTGGTACCAGCACCCGTTCTAGAGGCAGGGCTTGCAACAGGCTGAGGCAGCGCAGAGATGTGTACGGATCAGGCGTCGAGGTTTTTCGTTGCCTTTGAGAAACTCATGTTTGCGCAGCTATCTAGCTGTGACATATGATCAATGCCTTGTACACATGTGACATAACTGCTTTGGCTTCAGAGACACTCATACTCTGGATTTCATTCGCAAGTACCACTATGGGGTATATTTGCTCACACAACCAGTCAACCCTCTTTCATGAGTACCCGCAAGAGGGAAGTTACATAACCTTTGGTTATCCATGCAAACCAGGACTGCGCAAAATATAGTCGAGTCTTGCTTGATTCTGACCGATTTACTTCTGCCTCAAGTAGGATAGGTGTCTAAGCCATTCAAAAGAGACTAATCTGAAGGTATACCACTGCACTAGGCAGCCAAAAGCGGGGTTATAACATCGCTTGCGACCAGGTCGACTGCCCCAAATTTAGCTTCACCGACATCCGCCACACATGTGCGGGTGGCTAAAGCCCTGGCCATGAGATCGCTGCAATAGGGGAGGGGGAACGCAAGACTCGCCTCCAGTGAAGCTATCTTAAATGCATAGCTCCTCCCAGTATCCACCGGTCGGGGAAAGAGTTGGCCCCTACTCGCGCCGGCCTGAATTGAAGCCAAGGATGTTGGAATCGCTCATATCCGAGGCGCCGCCGTGCACGTCAGAGGGGTGGCTGTATGACGCAGTGGTATCGATATGGGTTAGTCCCATCTCCTTGAGACTTGCTCGTTCCACGCACGAACATCCGGGATTAAATGATTGAAGGTTTCTCGGATAGGCTAAGATACTGGAAGTTCCGCTTGGTGGATAAAAAAATTTTTAGTGACTGTATCTGCGATTGTCTAACTATTACACATGATTCGTGCCATGTGCACATGTTGAATGGCTTATGTAAAAGAGACACTTAACCTCTATATTATGTTCGCAAACAACAATGTGGCGTGCGTTTTCTTACACAAAACAGTCGACCCTCCTTCGTGAGTACCCACCAAAGGGAAGTTTCAGAAGATTGTTTATCGGAGCATGCCTTCATCATTCATGCATATAAGCACTGCGAGAAGTTTAATGTAGTCTTTCTGGACTCGAACTAGCCATCTCCTGTCTTAATTAGAATGTGTGTCCAAGCTATCCAAAATCTACTCGACAGGCCGGCCTAGATCATATGGCATAGAAAGATGATTCAATATACATGGTTTGTGCCAGAAACAAAAGGCCCTTGACAGGGGATCTGCGTAGCAAGATACATCTGTGACCTCAATTAGCCTGGCAAGCACACGTCCGCCTTCGTTTTTCGAGGAAGGAGCTGAGATGGTTTTGAATCATCGCGCGCTCATCGTCGCGGCACCAACATCGTGAGCGCGGCGGGTCGGCAAGGTGCAGGCCCCTGACTGCCACCTTAGGCAGGACGGGAACCTGAACAGTCACTACGCCGTGCGCTTCATCCTAATCGGGGCGCGTCACAATACCGCCGCCCTTACCAAGGCTCACACGGCCATGACGTTCTACATTTCATACTCCGCTAGCCCAAGTCTTGCGGCAGGCTGGGCCAGAGTATCCATTACGCCGTTTCCTATCCTACCACTTGCTTACTTTCCCCGTCGCAGCGACCAAGACGACAGTGCTAGATACAAGGTTTCATCTCTCCAACTCAGAACCAGCTCTATCTCTGAAAAGCGAAGTGCCGTGTAGGCTTGTCCACCGCTGCACGAAACCGCTCTGCACACATGAATCACAATCTAAGCTACTTTTTACATGACTGTTGCAACTTAACTTCTATTCCTACTTTCAAGTATAAAAGAGAACATTTTTAGCCAGTTAAATGAAATTGGCGTCAGACAAGACCGCATCGAAGGATGCAGATGGAGTGACTGTATGAAAATCGGAATGGCATAGAACTCGCTACGCTTCCTATGCCGCAAACTCTTCAAGAATATTCAATGATTCACGTTGATGTTGATATTATGAGGCTTTTGTGCAGATCTGATGATGTCCTCTTGCCTCTACTAGCTGAAAGAATAGTCACAAAAATTGACAATCTTTGCTAGATTTTCTCTCTCATCTATCTCCTATCCAAGTGAGGAAAGGCTGATCTTACAGTTATTTAATTTACTCGGGTGGTCAAAGGAATTTAACGTGCTTGAATATTTGGAGAAAGCGACGTCAACAGCAGTCATCAAAATTTCAAAGTTTTCAAATCAAATGGGGATGCATAATCGATCTAGAACGTCAAAAGTCCCATCTTACTGCCATTGAAATTATTTGCATTCTTTTGCTTTAAACTTATCTCTTCGTTGAATCTAAGATAGCAGAATAACCTGATTTTGGCCCAAAAATATGGCCATTTTATTGATGATTGCGATCCTCTCGTACAAGTTCCAATAGACAAGCATTCTGGAAGAAAATTTTCGCTCAGTGTATCGTCATCTCTAAGTTGTACTAGGACATATTATTCAGCTGTTCACGCATCAAAATTTCTAAAAGTAAATCCCAAGGAATTACCTCCTTGGTCAATGTAAAGTACCTTTGATATCTTCATCATTGAAACTTACTTCCTTTACACTCTATCATTAGTGGAAATAAAAAGAGCCAATAGGTGCTTGGATTTTCCCCTCGTCTGAATTGGACGTCTTCAGATAAATTTCATGAGTATTAATTAAGAAACCCGATGTTGGGTTCATGAGCTGTATTTAGTCTGAAGTTTGTTTGCTAGGTCAGCAGGAATCTGTGAACTTATATACGTGTTAAAATCTGGAATAAGAGATTTGTAGAGTCCAACGATCTAAGTGCCCCCTGTTAGCTAGATTATATTTGATGACACTTTGAGCTTACATGTCGAAAGATTTGTTCAAGGTCTGTGGTTAGAGAAGAATTAATGGATTCGTTTATCTTGTACTTTGCAATAATTGTGAATAAATATACGAGATCCTTTTCCATGGCCTGTGGGTTAATTGTCACGATGAGACAAAAGCCCTTAAACGCAGTTGCTTTCTCAATTGTATAGTCAATTGTAGAGATAGATTTCAAAAATGGCTCTGCAATTGTTATCAAGTGAGGAGCCATAATATCAGCATTTTCGAGGCCGAGTCGCCCCAGAGCAATTGCTGCGTTCTCGAGCACTGATTTAGGAACATCGGGATTTCCTAGAATCTGGAGACACCTTTCTAGTAGCCTTGGTATGTATGGGGCCATACCTTTACCGTATTGAATCGCTACTTCACCAGCGGACCAACATGTATTATTCACAACACTGAAGCCGGTCTCAATTTGCTCATCCATGATAGCATCAAGATCCAATTGCTTGATGAGTATCGGTAGAAGCTTATCTAGACATGGTTGTAACTGTGGGAAAACATACTTTGCACAGTCGCCAAGCAAAGCATACGATGACTGGCGTACATCATTTTCAGGATCTTTCATGCAGAACTGAAGGAGATCAAAAATCGAAGGATTTGATGCTGATACAAGGGCGGCAGACTGCTGAGATTCGAGTGCTTGTATTATAGCGCTTAATAAATCCAAACTAGTCACGAGAAAGTCCTTGTCAGGGGTATCAAGATTAGGATTGTTGACGGCCGCAAGGGACTCCTCGAGGTTTTGGTGAACAATTTTGATGCATCTCTCGAAAACAGGCTGTGAAAATGAGGCAAAACTTTCTGCTAGAGCTGTAGCGACGTATGAAAGGCATTCTAGAAGTGGAAATAGTTCTCTCGAAGAATCAGAGACTTTGTTCCAACGCTGGATCAAAGCTGGCATTAGAAGATCAACTAGATGAGGCTGAGCTAGCCCATGTCCGACATGCTCTGCAAGAGTTTGGACACAGTCATAGAGTATGAAAATATTTCGATCCTTATATCTGTCGAAACAGTAGACAAATTGGCGTATGATAGGCTCACAGTATGGCGTAATCCGAGCACCAGCTTTCTCCTCTAGGTGAGCAAAAGCTGATGCACCGGCTTCCTGTACCCGTTTATTTCGATCCAGCATTTTCGTCAAAATACCTTCCATCATAGGTTCAAAATATTGTGCCCTTTGTTCTACAGTATTCAGGTTGGCCGCCCACGACGAGTATCTACCTAACGTCCAACAGGTGATCTGTCTTACCAAAGGCTCTGGGTCGTTAAGCAACGAAATTAAGTATGGGACTAGCTCCGGAAGATGTGGTGTAACAACGTCGAGACAACCTTCGGCCACAGCTCCCAAAGCAAGCACAGCCGCTTCTCTATACGGCCATTCTTCATGTTTTAAATTCGACATCAGATATGGAAGTATAGTTTCAAATACTGGCCCTCGAAATTGAGATGCAAATACATCGAGAGCAGCAGCAGAGCATTTTCGTAGATTCCAGCGATCCTCTGGATTCTCATTTTCGTCATCTTCATCATCGTCATAATCATCAATTTCTCCTTCATCTAACTCATCGTCGTCTTTCATTTCAGTTCCTTTTAGATAGTCTTTATCATCAGCTGACCCATCTAATCCACCTTCATTGGAACTGGTATTAGCTCTTTTGCCTTTACTCCGTGCGAAGCTTGGCTTAATGTCTTCTGAACGATCTTCTTGATCTGCGTCATCCATCCTACCTTGTAACGTTGCAATATCATCTTCACAGTATACCATACTCTCCAATAGGACGGGTATAACCTTTGTCAAATAGGGCCCAAGACAATTTACGATTTCAGGCTGTTCACCTAGTGTGAGCCAAAATTCAGCAGCATCACAAGCAAGATCTTCATCATCAATTCTTCGTTGTTGTGATAGCATGTAGTCAACAAGGCCGCCAAGGTGTGGCACAATTTTTTCTGGTCGAATGTCTACAATTTGTACGAAAGCGCGGCAGACTTGACGTCGGACATCTGCTACTTCGTCAACTGCCAGCTGGAATAAGCGCTGTAGAAGATCGTCTAGTGAGACAATTAATATTTGAGGCTTCTGAGGTATGAAGATATTTATAGTAGCAAGGGCTATTGATCGAACTTTAGCGCTATTATTTTGCGTAAAGGTTATTAGCTTGGGAATAATGACGGTTAGAGGACGCTGGCCCTGATAATCTTTGTCGAGGGGTTTTTTATTGTCCTCGCAAACTTTTGAGAGAGCTACCATTGCACCCTCTTGCGCTTCTATTGATATATTCCCGTTATCGTTACCAACCATTGCTAGTAACTCTGGTAAAATTTGAGGCCAGCCGAGAATACCACCTTTGCTTACAGCTTCAGTGATAACATTTCCAGCATAGTTTCGTATCAAGGAGCTTCTATCGTAAAGAGCCAGGGGTACAGAAGCATGGATAATGGAGAGACTTTCTGGTGATATATTTTTGTAAAGGGTTTTAATGTTATTTTTAAGCATAGTAGCAGCCGCGGCCCGTATAGTGTGGTACTCATCAGCTGTAAAGCCTAGCCCAGACGGTTGATTTGGGCTTGAAAAAATATATGATAAATAATTGTTGATATGTGGTGATGATTTGGCCTTTTGGAGCATCTATTTGGCAAAGCAGTGAATGTTAGCTCCTTCAGGCAGGACCGCACTTAGACTAGTAAATTTCTTAACTCACAACTTCGGCTTGCGCTTGTGCGGTCCTATTGTGGCCATTGAGAGAATCTTTTAAACATGTTGAGAGTCCCTTCAATGGCTCTAGCTCTGGCTGCCAGCCCATTATTGCTATTTGATGTAAAGCTCCTCCTGATTGGTGTCTTTCTTTTGTGTTAAGTACTTTGATAGGCTGCTACCAATTCATAGATTCAGACGTGAGTTAAATATCATACAGATTTATGTAGCATTGAATATTAAATTTCGTTCGGTCCTCGTAGGCCAAATTTATCTGTGTGAACAATTAGCTGGTTCACTAGCATGAAGAGCATCGCTAGTTGGATTGAATGTATGCTGCGAGAATACATGATGTGAAATACTTACAAACTCTTGAATGAATTTAGACGCTGCCGGAGAGATGGTTAACAGTATGTGAAATACTTAGCAAAGAGCAAACCGATGCGGGGTTGTCTAGGTGCCGCCTCGCCACACGTTAGACAGCAATCAAGTTAGGCTGATTAACAACACAAGCTGAAAGCAGTTTGAGTATTTACTTTGGTATAAGTTGGGAAATCAATGGTAAAAGCTGTTAAATTCCCGACTACGCGACGTAGTGTCATGGGTAATCATAGACTTTTACTCCTTGGCGGGGCTATAATCACAGTCCAACTACAGAAAATTTGTTGTGACCCGGACAAATCTAGAAAGTGGACAGAATCCAGTAATACATGAACATCGCCGCAAGCCAGTGTCAGGACAGTGTTCTTGCATCGGCAAAGCATTGGCACTTTAGAATGGGGTCCACTCTTGGATAAATTGAATGCCTTGTTCGTCAATTGAATGATGTTTTATTGAAGATATTTCTTGAGATTAAATACACTATATCAAATTGGGGTATCCATTACAGCTGTATACTTAGAAACTCCTACTTGAGCTGTGTATATAATTTGATGCCAAGCTCATTTCACCCAGAAGGAGATGCATGTCGCCGCCCACAATTATCAGATGCAAAGTTTTGTATTACCACGTGACTTTGAAGTGACAGCCGTTTTTCATGTTGATGACCGCAAGTATAGTGTGGCCGACTTGTTCAACACGGTTATATCTACAGACGTGGAAGTGAAATAATGTCATAGTGCACAGATTCTGTTCAGCCCAACTAATGGTTTCAGATGAAAATACTAAGAATTTTCTATTGCGGGAATTGGAGCTTATTGAGGCCAAAACTCTCCAAAAGTTTCCCGAACGCAGATCAAGAAAATACCCCGGAGGACGAAGGCTGAACACCTGTCAGTGGTGTCCTCTACGAACCTGGGAGTGAAATATTCTCTCAGGGCCGAGATTCAGTCACGACAAAGGGTGAATTTGAGAGTTTTCGTCGAGTTGGCGATCGGGAGGAGTGGTGTTGGCACATTTTTGGTCGAAAATCCGACTTGCAGAGATTTCACGACTGCACAGCTCAACAAAATCAACCATCTACACCCCAGATACGAACCGCAGACAGCCTATAACCTGTCTGATGTTCATATTACAACAACTGACACCTTCAATATCTTATTTTCTATTTTTCTGGAAATTCATTCTCAGCCAAACTCATCTCGCGGCCCTCTCCACAATCATCTCACCATCTACCTAAGCAATCCCATACCTCCAAAAGCCAAATCGCCAACTAAGAAGCAAGAGGATGTCTGACCCTCCGCAACTGCCAGTCGCTGTGAAGGTACGGTCGAAATACCGGCCTTAGATGCGTCCTCACCTCGGCCAAGGGCACCAACAACTCGACCTGTGACGAATCGCCACCGACGAAATAAGTACGACATTTCGCCAGCACACCAACTAGAGCATTCGACAAAGGCTGGGGCACCGGCGCCTCGGACTTGAGCTCTCAGTCGCGTTTTCGACCTCCACGGTTAGGGGTACGGCAGCGACGGGGCAAGGCCGGAGGGGTGGACATTCTACAAATTTTTTTGGATGATGATATCGGCCGAAGAGTAGAGGGATGCTACATGAAGGAACCAAAATGGAACACAAACTGAGGAGGCCTTGGTGGGCGACTGGATGAGGCCTCCAGTGAAGAAAACGACCCCTGGATGAGGTGAGGAGATGCTGAGATGAGTCAAAGCTGGGAATGATTCGAAGGGAAAAGTTACAGATGGCGAAGGTGTCAAGGGCTCGGGCGCGTGGTGGCCGAGGCTGAGGAGGAATTTGCGCTTCGGCGCGCCAAAAGGGGGTTCTCTGGACGGTTGGGCTTGACATGATTCAACACATGGGTGAAGTCTGAGGTGTTCCGGTCATTTAGGTGGGACGAGGCACTTGTACTTTACGGTAGTTAACCTGATCCGGCCCGGCCCCACCCGTGCTTAAGCTCCAGTAGGAGTGTAACGGGAATTACTATACCTAGCACGTAAATGAACAAAACAAAACAAAAAAAACCCAAGCAACGGCTAGGCCAATCTCCAATTCCACTGAAAATCCAGGATGAGATATGTCACCACTAATGTTTATTGCGCCTGCTGCTTTTTTTCCATAATTGACCGCAATTTCTGATCCTCATTTACAACACCCATCAGAAACATGCTGATCGTGAAACAAGCAAATTAAAATGTTAAAAGAAGAAAAAATAAGAAAATAAAGACGTGCGGCTGTAACTATGTTTCAAGAAAATACAGGCCTGTTGTATTACTTATGTTAGGAACTAGAACGTGAAAACTTTGAGCCATGTGGATTAATGGGTAAAGACTGCATAGAAATCACTCATACTCTCACATGCAGTGCCGTTCCCGAAATTACCAAATACTCTTAGTGGATACGGGGCAGTATTTGGGTTTATTTTGCAGTACGAAGTACCTATAAATATACTGTAGAGACGGCTCGACTCATAATTTAAATGATGGCTAATGAAGTTCTGGTTTTGCGGAGACATTGCATTTTGGAATTTACAGAAAATTTAAGACTCAGACCGTAATATGGCCTAAGCTTTTGATAGATTTATCCATTTGAATGAGGAAGTACTGAGTCTCTAGTGTGTTCAATTAGTAGTTAGGATGCATGATAATTGTAGAAATCTAATTATCCCCAGTTTTATATATATGACTGCGATAACTCATGCAGAACTTTCATGACTATCAATCTCTTTCATCACAGTACCAACAATCATTTTTAAACCTTCTATTTCTTCCTCGCTAGTACCACCCATCCCAGCACTTGCAAAGCTTATGGAATTTCCAACATAGACAGGCTTTTGTAATTTCCTAGCAAAAATCTTTGCTAAACGGGTAGTAAGGTCTATTGAGTATTCATTCTGACAGAGAGGTGTAGAGATAGTCTGGGTTGTATTTATCCGCTGTATACATTTTTAACAACAGACATGCGAAAATTGAACAGAGCACTTACATCTGGAAGAGCATAGACAAAAGATCCAAGAGGAGGTAGCACTGAGGTGTCACCTATGCTTGTAGTAGTCAGATGTAGGAGTATGTATTTTGCTCGAATGGTGAGGTGGACGCGGACTTCTGTCTCTGGTGCGAGAGGCAACGGAAAGGATAGTTCAATGGGCTTTTCAAAAATTTCCCTCTGGTTTTCCATTTGCGCCAAATTATTCACATAAACTGAAAATATTGACTATTTTGTCCATTTATCGCCTGAGAACGCTATTCCCAACCTAATCTTCCTGTTAGCGGCTGATAAGGGTATGACTTAGGACCTATTTGCAAGGAGCCCACAAGCTAATCTAGGTGTAGCGCATGCCCTGACGAAGCTGGCGTGCTTCGGACCCACTTATCATTACATTAGCATTGCAAAACTTAGAGAGGTCTTCGTGCGAATGTCACGTGAATCGTCAAAAGGCAAAAGCGAATACAAGAATGAAGTTATTAATTGTCTCCGTGCTACGAGTCCATCGTAGCACTATAATATCTAATTCTACCCTAATAACGCCCCTGATCATCACTACTAGACCGATGTGTGCTTGTGTAGATCGTACTTTCGCTTATGGGCTGGGTTCAGACTTATGCAAGCATAAGTCTGCTAACAAGCATCATAATATTATCCGTTCCTCTCCCGACAGAAAATCCCAGATTGCATGCAGCTGTCTTACCATGACGTTGCCTCATGTCTATTGAATATATTTGCGTTCTAGACATCCTACATTATGGTAGGCTTAGAGGGGGAGTGAAAAAATCAACACATATCAGTAGTGTCCTCTGTAAATTTGAAAGTGAATTGATCTCCAGGGATATAGTTCAGTCAAATTCGCAATTCCGAAGAAGTAGGCCCACGAGGCAATGACCCAAAACTCTCTACAAAATCAATCTCTCCCATCCAACGCGGTCGACTCATACCTAAGCCTCATCAATTCTACAGGTACTACCTAGTACATCCTCATTCCAATGACCACACCTCTCTTCGACTCTCTCTGGCGTCAGCCGGTCACCAAATACACGCCCACGCCGATATTTATACTCGCCGAAGGAAGGAAATAGTGGCACACAAATCTGGGAGGCAGTTCTTTGGAATGGACGTGAAAGGGATCAGGACAAGTTGACAAGATGATGCAAAGGAAGAGTACAATCTCGACGGGTGTGAAATTTTGAATTTTGGCAAGGAGTTTTACGAATTGAGCTTTGTGCGTGCCAAGAGTTCGGTCGGGAGAGGGCAGCCGACACTATAAAAACAAGCAAACGATGGAAGGTGTTGTGGTCCGCCTCCTGGTGGTGTTCTTTGGTATGGTTTGAGTAGCCTGGGCACCTACTCCACTTGGGAAGGAGACATCTCAGATTACATTTCGCGCGGAGAAAATTCAGTGGATGATGCAGGCAAGTCTGGATTATAAGAGCTTGAGACGTTTCCTTGGGTGGGTATTCACGGATGAGAGTTGACTTTATTACGGTTTGAGTTCGTGTTCCTTCAAATCGTTGATGGCATTGCAAGGGCCAGACTCGGAATGTTCGGCGTTAGTATCGTGGCATGTAGATAATTTAGTATGGAACATACATATAGTAAACAGAGAGGGTAGAGAAATACAACCAGGCGATTCTTTTCACTGACAATTAATGATATTAAGTCCACCACAATTTACCTAACATTGGTGAGCCCAGCTGCTCTACAAAGAACCTCTCGATAATCATTTTCCTACTGCTTCCAACTCAATACCTGAGATTCACCTGTCTGCGAATCCACGCGACAAACCTAACTATCAATCAAGAGTCAAAACAAACTGCAAACCTACGCCTGTCAAATTGACTGATTAATTTAAATTTAAGACTCTACTGGGTCCTAGACTACGAAAGACTACTTAAGAACCTATCTAAATGGCTCCTCAATTTATTGGTTAATTTCTAATTTGAATATTACAATTATATGCCAGTTGATCATGAGGGTCAAGCCTTTAAGCCGGTCAAAGCTATCTGCAGCGACAAAAAATTATTCAATAATGTATTCTGAATCTGACTCAACAGTTACTTGAATCACAATTGTTATCGATAAGCCTAGTAATTGGTTTGATTAGTTATTTATAAGAAAAGACTCGTGTCTTCGATATGACCTCTGACGATATGCGAGCCCTGAGACGCCAAAAGATTCTTTACCAATCTTCACAGAACCTCCTGAGCCAGAATTATGTTCCAACAAAGCCGATATCATTTCACTATCTAATTTTGACAAAGAAGGTAAGTTTGCACATCTTTAGGATTACGATAGATACGAACGTAAACTATCGGAATATCGAAAATTTGTCCAAGCCCTTGCTGATTTTAACCTAGAAATTAGCAAGACAATTTCAGAGAAGCATCTTTATCTAATCCAACAGTGCAACACCCCATATCACATACCTTGAGCGCTTGTTTTTACAGTGTCAGCGGCACTCTCGCAACCGATCAACTCCAGCATCCTTTATTCTCAAAGCACTTGATTCGAGTGATACTATCGCATTCTACCTACGACATTTTACTGACAAATTCATCTCTCAATCACCCATGCCGCCCCAGTCCTCCGCAGAGGCTGGCCCCTGGCCCCCCCTCCCCACTCAATGTTCGACGCGTCAAGACGTCGAAATGGTCCTTAACGGGCCACAACCGCCATCACAACCACCCACCCAACAATTTGTAGAGCCAATCTACGACGCGAGTCATCGAAGCTCGCCCCACCAACAACCTCCGTCGCCTCAAATTGTCGCGACCGAATTCCTCGCCGACCAGGGCAGGACATTCCAGACGCGCTCTGCACAAGCAGAGCGTTTCATCATCGGGGTCTGCAAGCTGTTGGAACCAGTCACTGACGAGAGACTTCGAAAACTCTTTGATCAGGACTTACTGGCCCTTCAGGGCAAGATACTGGAAATTTTATGGGGCAGCCCATCTCAAGCAGACGCCAACGCTCCCCCAAAGGCTGCAAGCGGCCATACTAACACATCTAACACGGCTCAAGTCACAGAGCCTCCAAAACAAAGTCCTGCAAGCGTCACACGTCCAGTGCTGATCCTTGCCAGAGAAAAGAATAGACCGGCACCACAAAGGCCGGTAGCCACAACCGCAACTCTCCAGCCCAACCAGGGCTCAAACAAAACCAACAACAACGCTACAGAGAAATCTTGGACCGAGGTGTTGGGAAAAAGAAACAAGCCAGCAAACCAAGTGGCTCCAACTTCAACACTCAAGACAGTGCCAGTGAGGCCCGCCTCCGCGCCGAAGCCTAAAGCTCCAGCAACAAACCCCCAGCGACCTGACGAGCGCGTATTTTTGCGCCTCAAACCTGACCACCCGTGGAGACGTATGTCACCCTACTTCGTAAAGATTAGCCTAGCTAGCAAGCTGCGTCTGGCCAACTCGACAATCAAACAGGTCACTGTCGTGAACTCAGGGTTCGCAATACAAGCCGAAGGGGAAGGGGAAGGAGCTAGAGGTGCACTTCTCTCAGGAGGAGCCATATTAGATAGCTCATAAATGAAATTGGAAGCCGCCTCCAACTGGATATCAGTCCTGGCACCAAATATCCCAGACAAGCTTTACACTCTGGAAGGGCCCACCATAGTGACACCAGAGATGGTAATAGAAGAAGCAGCTCTCAAAACAGGAGTTAGACCAACCTCAGCTCGTGCTTTCGCTACTAGCATGGACAGGCCGTCAACGGACTGGGTGTTGCACTTCGCAACAGGGAACCGAAACTTGGAGAAAGACTGTTTGAAGAAAGCGGGCGCCTTCACGAACTCCAGCGCAAGCTCAAAATTGCGCAATGCAACCGATGCTGGGGACACCACCCAACTAAAATCTGTTCACGAGCAGAGCGCTGCACCCGCTGTGGCTCAATTGAGCACAAAGCTACTGAGTGCAAACAGGCCGTACCAAGGTGCATCAATTGCCACGGGCCACATGCTGCAACTGAGCCTAACTGTATGGCTAGGCCGACACAGGCTGGTGGGAAGACGGTGCAACGCACAAGGGACCAGCTGTCGGTGATCCGCGAGCAGGGTCAAAAAGAAAGGAATGCTTCGATCAGAGAGATGGAAGCAAAGCAGAAAGCCACCGAGGCTACTGCTGAAAACGAAAATTCAAACGTTGCTCAATGCCCGTAAGGGACCACAACCCAACCGAGCTTCAAAAAACGGCAACAACAATCTCGTTCCTCTGCGCTAATCTGGGCAGAGGAGATCCCGCTACAGACATCATCCTGCAATCCGCTTGGGATTCAGGAACCGATGTCCTACTCATCCAGGAACCCTGGACTAAACACAAGGACGGCTTCTGGCTCACCAAGTCGCATGCCGGATTCGATAGGCATTTGCCTCCCCGTGTCGCTGCTAACTCTTCAAGGCCACGCTCCCTCATCTACACGCGAAAAGGGACCAAGTACCTACAGCAAGCAATCTGCGAGACATCACCAGATCTCACTGCAGTAAAGGTAGAAGGAGTCACGTTTGTCTCCGTATACCGCGCTCCTGGAGCAGACCTTTTGCCGCTGCTATCATGGGCTCCATCTGGGCCTACAGTTATTGGCGGAGACTTAAATGCTGTTCACACCGACTGGCAGCCAATGGCTACTAGGCTACACGGTGACGGCCAGGTGCTCACCGAGTGGATGTTCGAGCACGGTATGGACCTATCTTCCACACCGGGCGTGCCGACACACGACTTTGGAAACACACTCGACCTGGTCTGGTCTAACGCTGGTGCCCTTGCAGATGTCTCGACAGAGCTTGACTCAACATCGGACCACAGAACGCTTGCAGGAGACGTTCCCCGCCCGAACTCGAAAGCTATAGCGGTTATCAAAACTGGTCAACTGTTCCGAGTGATAGACGACGCCCTCGAAGACTTTGCCAAGGTACTTGGTAGATGGGCTCATGGAATAGGGCTACAGCCAATGGACTCAATAAGTGAGGTGGACAACCTTGCGGATAAACTGGTTCAAACCATCAGCGATGCTATCAGGGCTACCGGAAGACGCGGGAGTACGAAGAAGGGTAGGACGGCACCTTGGTGGACGTTGGAATACTCACAGGCCAAACGCGAATATAGGATATTCAGGGACGAAGAGAGTAGAAAGGATTTCCGTCGCATAGTCAGAAGTGCGAAACGTCAATACTGGCGGCG